CATTGTAGTAGTGCCTGGCCTACTCCTGTTACCCTGGAAACGCAGACTGGCCTCACAGTAGATCTCAGGCCTAGTCCCCTTACCATGGAAATGCAGCCTGATCTTGCAGTAAGGGCACAGGCCTAATCCCGTTACCATGACAACGCAGCCTCACCTCACAGTACAGCTCAGGCCTAGTCCCGTTACCATGGAAACGCAGCCTGATCTCACAGTAAGCACACTGTAAAGCAGTGTAAAGCAGTAAACTAAGGGCTCAGGCCTGCTGCTGTTACCATGGAAACACCGCCTGATCTCGCCATAAGGGCTCTGGCCTGCTCCCATTACCATGGAAATGCAGCCTAATCTTGCAGAAGGGCTCAGGCCTGATCCTGTTACCATGGAAACGCAGCCTGACCTCACAGTACAGCTCAGGCCTGCTCCTGATACCATGGAAACGCAGCCTGATCTCACAGTAAGCACACTGGCCTAGTCCCGTTACCATGGAAATGCAGCCTGGCCTCACAGCAGAGCTCAGGCCTGCTCCTGTTACCATGGAAACAGCCTGGCATTGTAGTAGTGCCTGGCCTACTCCTGTTACCATGGAAACGCAGCCTGGCCTTGCAGTAAGGTAACGGCTCTGGCCTAGTCCCGTTACCATGGAAATGCAGCCTGGCCTCACAGTACCGCTCAGGCCTGCTCCTGTTACCATGGAAACGCAGCCTGATCTCACAGTAAGGGTTCTGGCCTGCTCCTGTTACCATGGAAACGCAGCCTGGTCTCATAGTAGGAGCGGTTCCCCCCTTTTCTTCCCCCATTTTGGGGTGACAATGCCACCACAGGGGGACAGAGGGGACACCTGGGCAGGGCCCTACCTGCGCCGTCGTCCTCGCCATGGGCGTGTCCAGCGGCTCCAGTTATTGCTTGGGGGGGTGTGGGGAGCCCAGGGGAGCGGACACAGAGAGGGGGGGACATGGGGGGGACACACACACGGGGGTACAAGGTGAGGTGACACCGATTTAAGGGGGGGCTCCCCAAGTCCTGAGTGATCATGGAAAGGGGGGAGGGGGGGACACACGAGGTGGGGAACAACAGGGACACCCAAACCCCCCCCAAAAGAGGGGTGGGGTTGGAAGGACCCCAAGTTTGGGGGGGAGGGGGACGACACCCAGTCCAGAAAGTGCAGTGCAGCCTTTGGGGTGACATCGGGGCGGGGGGGTCCCCTTGTCACCCCCTTTCACAGTCTCTTAGGGGGGGCACCCCTCCCTTT